CATGGTAGGGGACGGGTCCATAGCAGGGTGCAGGTCCATGGCGGCCCTTCACAACAGACCCAGTTTCTTCCCTCGGGAAAATTAATTGTTCACCTCTGGTCTAGAGTCCCTATGAGTGAAATTCAGCAAGAAGCAAAATTAAGTTTCTAAAGGCAATAAAAAAAGAAGGCAGTATTCATTTGGGTTATTCAGGTGAGGATTATTCAATTGGATTACAAATAAGAATGTTAATTACAGACTGAAATGCTGCTGACATCACCCAAAATGAAACAACAACCTGGAAGGAGAAAGATTTCTTCATCCTAAAGCAGGGGTGTCAAACTGCCGGCCCGCGAGCCGGATGCATCATAGCGAAACTGCACCCACCCCATTGCCGGCAATGGCAAAAAAGTCGTGATACGTTGCGACATGTCATGTGACGTTGCGAGTTTGACAGCCCTGTCCTAAAGCATCAAACTGCAGTTGAGAGCCGGATGAGAGATTCTCTTTCCAGGTAGAGAGATTCAGTAATAGCAGTAGCAAGACAACAAACTCAAAGATTATAAATCTATATTCAGATAAGAGATTCTCCATATCTTCCTGGATCACCTGTCAAGATGGGATGGGAAATGTTTTAAATTCCAGTTCTATATCAGATCTTCACCTAAGAAAAGCAGGTGACGCAGTGCACCATATTAGCCATGATTTTTTCTATGCTTTTCATTCAATTGACTCTTTGCAACTGAATGAAATACAGTTGTCTCTTCCTACCATGCACTAAGGTTACTTAACATGGGAGGTAGCTGAAGGCACTTTTCTCCTTTTGTCTTACCGACTATCACACATTTTCCTATTGTTCTGCAGCCTCTCTAGCTGCTTGCATTTCTTTAATGAGCCCAACAGAAGAATCACCTAACAGAACTCAGAGAAGTGTAATTTCTATTGAAGAAAACAGATGCTTACACCAAAACAAATTGCACTGCAAAACTAAAATAAAAGCAGGAGAATTTTGATGACTGAGAATGATCGAGAATAGCCAAAAAATCATCTCTGACATTTTTGCTATTTTTATCATTACAGCCCACTAAATTACAGAATTTCTGTGCTTTGGGGAAATAATTATTATCAATTCTTTTCTGAATTGTGAAACGCCCAGAGTTGTTTGCTGAGATGGGCAGTTATAAAAATCAATCAAACAAAAACAAATTCAACCTGAAAGTCTAGTTTCTGCTTCATAACCTGTCTTGGGTGGGGGTGGGAAGCAAACAAAGAGAAAAAAAACCAGAACTAAATAAAACAAAACCTGATAGTCATATAAAATCTTTGTACAAAGTCCAGTACTATGCTGATACAAATATTGCACAGATGAGAGGGACTGGGTACTATATGGGATATCGTGAATAAATATGTATTTCTTTGCCAAACTAGACAATCAGCACACAGACACATACAGTGCAGCACACAAAGTCTGATTGCATACTCAGTTTAAATTGGGAATGTACAACCTGGAAATCCAAGATTGATGTGGCTTTCCAGAGCCTTCAGCAAGGCTCCTCAAGTTTTGGGGGTCCAACTGTATTTTCTAATATGGCTGAAAAAATGCATTAAATATACCAAAAAGAATTGTACTAACAGTCTCACTCGAAACTGACATTATAATTAAGCTAAGTTTAATATTTTTCCTGGATCAATTCATTCTCAGGCCAAAGATGATTCTTGGCTGCAAAAGAATTGCAAATCTCTGGCATCAGGCATCATAAGCCACCCAGAGTCACCTTGTAGGGGAGATGGGAGGCATAAGATTTTAAATAAAGTCAGTCAGTCAGTCAATCAATCCAATCCTTGGTAGAAGATTCAAAATGAAACAGATATAAATATGAACCAAAAAGGAATCTAGACAATGATCTAGAATAGTATTTCTCAACCCTGGCAATTTTAAAATGTGTGGCTCTCATCTCAGAAATTAAGTTACATATTATTAAAAAGAGACAAGATGGTTTTGATAATAATGTGTTCTTTAGGAAATTCACATTTTTTTCAAAACATATTTGCAGGGGTAAGCCTTGGCATTTAAACTGTGGGGATTTTGTTTATATTTATATATCTAGTGCTTGGTCCCACCATCTTTAATGTTTGCATCTAAATCAGTGGTTCTCAACCTGTGGGTCGGGACCCCATTTGGGGTCGATCGACCATTTCATGGGGGTCGCCAAGCAAGGCTGTCTGCCATTTTTTTGTCCACCATTTTTTTTGTCCGCCATTTTTTTCCCCTTTTCCGGTGAGTGCCTTACCTCCCTTGGGCTGGGCCAGCTGGTGGTCGGCCTGCTCCGTCTCTGCCGCTTGCCAGCTACGCCTCGGCCGGCGCAGGGGGCAGAACCACGCATGCGCGGCGCTCCCGGGTAGGGAAAGTCCTCGACTTACGACCGGTTGGGTAGTCCTCGACTTACGACCAGTTTAGTCCTCAACTTACGACAGGTTTAGTCCTCGACTTATGACCGGTTGGGGTCGTGGCATTAAAAAGGTTGAGAACCACTGATCTAAATTAAGTGCAAGTGTCATTTCTTAGCAGTATCACTAAGCCATTTATTCATGTGAGAGATTACACAATGTCCTAACATCTAAGAAGCTGCTAAAGTGCCTATGAATTGAAGGGGCTAATGCCTCTGGCTCAGCTATTGCTTCACGATCCAGTAAAAATTATTGATTGCATCTAACTTTATGAGATGGACTTTTGATTGAACAATCTTTTTCCTATAATGCATGGGGGGAGGGGGAGGAAGGGAATCCTACTTTCCATAGGACCATGTTTTCTTCCATAAAAGTGGAGAAGGTTGTTGGAGAATGTTTGTCTGTGCATGCAATTTTCTTTTCTTTTTCAATGGGTGATTTACCACAATAGAAACATTATAACCAAGGCTTTAAATTGGGACAGCAAATCCATACCCTGCATGAGCCAGAATCCCTACCACAATCATTGCTGATACCCTGCATGAGCCAGAATCCCTACCACAATCATTGCTGAAAGTAGTGGCAACATTCATTATTGCAAAATTACATTGACTTTATCGAAACACTGCCACAGCATAATATGGGAGTTCTCTCTCTCTCTCTCTCTCTCCCTCTCTCTGTCTGTCTGTCTCTCTCTCTCTCTCTCTCTGTCTGTCTGTCTGTCTGTCTTTATGTATCTGATCATTTCCATTAATCATTCTGTTGAAATGGAAAAACTGCCAGGTTTGTTACTTAAGTAAATGTCACAAAACCCATCCCCCCTGATGTTTTGGTTCTTTCTATCATGGGAAGTACTATTTCTGGAAAAAAATATGTTGATTTTATTCAGCTATAAACATCATCAGAAATGTGGTGGAACTGTTTCCCTAGACTGAATACTTGAAGAACTCTCCTCATTCAAGATGCTACATTAAAAATAAAGAGAGGGAGGGAGGGAAGGGGAGGACAATTTTCAAATCAAAAAGTTCCATATCAAAATTAACAGGGAAAAAAAAAAAGTGAAAATTTACATGTGGGTTTCCGGGGTGGGTCGATTTTAGCTACACTCCAGGAGTAATGATGATGATAGTAATAATAATAATAATAATAATAATAATAATAATAATAATAATAATAATAATAATAATAAAGTTGAAAGGAACCTTGGAGATCTTCTAGTCCAAACCCCTGCTCAGACAAGAAACCCTATGCCATTTCAGACAATTGAAAGAGGGGCTGGTCTTCTGTGTCCCTGAAGTCCCTTAAGGCCTATTTAAATGTGGTTTCATGAAGGGCCCACAGGCAGGTTGCACATGCCGAGTTACACCTACATTGAAGGTGGTACAGAGGAGCACTGCTTAAGTCCCCTTTCAAGGCCCTTTGGATTTTGCCCAAGAGGGAGAGCAGAGAAGCTCAACAAGGAAGAGGAAGTTGCCATTCCCCAAGAAACTAATGGGAATGGTGATGCTCAGAAGCCAAAGGGGTTAAGCATTCATTGGGCAGGCTTGGGCCTCCTTGGATTTGCTGAAACCCTGAGTACATGACACATCTCCCGCCTCCTTTGCCCTCTTCACAGGGCTCCTCTGGCCCAGTCATAAATTATCCCTTCAAAGAAAAAAACCCGAGTGGCCCTCAGCTGAAGAACACTTACAAATTATTTTGGAAAGCCAGAGGCATCGCTGGATCCTCCAGCCCAATGGAAATGTTTCTGTCTTCTCCAACTTTAGGTCAATTCTACTGAAGGCTTGTAAGCTCTTCTATCCTGGAGGACATGAGTGATTGAGGCATGTCTTTTACAAAAGCCAGGCTGTGTCTCAGAGTCTTCACAAGCCCATCGTGAGTGCCAGGTGATTCTTGAGCCAAATTGACCCAGAATCTAAAGGGGTTATGCAAGGAGCGCAAGCACTTGACAGATTTATCCCATTGGTCTCAGTTCTCTCTCCAGAAAATAATATGGTTTTGCAAACTCTGACCTTCTGTTGGACAAATGTTTCAACTTGAAGGAAGTGATCAAAAGGAACATAAAATAAAAAAAAAAGTTGTTCCAGATCCTTAGTTTGCAAATTCAGCAGAGCACCACAGACACAAAATATAATTATGCCAATTTGCAGAACAAAGGATTTGGCTCATCTTAAATACATTTTAGTGAGATAATTCGATCTTATTATTTCACACTACCTTGTTGCAATAGCTGTAATGCTAAATAATTAACTTGCACACTTTACCTCTAGTATATATCACTCAGGTCCAACATGAAATGGTCCAGAAAACAACATTTCAGAAATCCAGAAATTAAATAGTCAACCATGCATGTAATGACAAACAAAGTTAGAATACATGTTTGCTTGAGCAGTTAGGTGTTATCTATGGTGACCTTGGATGGAGAACAGTGCAGTTCTGCCTATATCTTCAGTGTCTATTAGTTCTTTCCAAAGAGTGGGGAAATTCCAAAGTAACAGATGGATTAAAAACACCATCACCACCACCACTACTATCATCATCATGGAAATGCCAAAGTGTAACAAGGGAGTCTTTTAGATAAAATATTCTCGTTTGCACTCGCTCACTGGGTTCTGTAAGTCAACCTCAGTCTTAAAAGAACGGTCAAGGTGTTCTGGATACTCTTTTTCCTTTGTCTGGCTGTTCCGATGAGTCTGTTTATGCCGATAGAGGACTCTGCTCATAATGGCCACAATGCAAAAGATGATGAAGATCACAACTGCAATAACACCTGAGGTGCAAAAGACAAAATGTAAACATAAAGAGAAATTCAGAGTGAGGTAAGTGGCCTATTCAGCAGAATAGATTTCATTTTGTTGTGAAGTTCACTGTTGCTATTAAAGTGAATTTTGTCTATAGTCATACAAATGTGTTATACTCAAGGTTTTTAAGAAGAGACTGGACAGCCACTTGTCTGAAATGATATAGGGACTCCTGCTTGAGCAGGGGGCTGGACTAGAAGACCTCCAATGTCCCTTCCAGCTCTATTCTGATTACATTACATTTAAAGTGAACTTTGTCTATAATCCTACAAGTTTGTTACACTAAACCTCATTTTCTTCCTGATCTCAACAGAGAACCAGCCAAACCTGGCTGCGCTATATTTCATGCTGAATTACTCCAGCAAACATTGTTCATGCACAAATTATTATTATGCAAGATTTCACTGCTATTTCATTGATGAGTATTGGTTAGGAAAATGGCAAGCTATTCTGCAGTCCCTCATACTGCTTCTAAATATACTTTTGAGATTTTGAGGTCTTCAGTATATGGTGAGACATCTAGAGATAAGGGTGGTACTCATGCAGGAGGAAAGAGAGGAGAACCATTGTGGAAATCTGCTCACATGATGTTGGGAATAGCCAATCCTCTCCTCCCAAGTGAAGCCTAAATGAATATACTTTGTTACCAAGTTTCCAGGACATCTAAGTACCAATCTGCCTACAAATAGAAGTTATCCATTGGTAAGAATTCTCAATTATCATAATTACTATTGAAGGGAGTTAAAACATTCATGGTCTCAAGTCAATCTGGCCGAAATTGGATATTCATTCAATTGGATTGGGATGGTCAATCCTTAATGGATGTAGTACTAATTCAATTACTTTCTCTTTGGTACTCTAATTCATATTACTTAATTGTGAAGTCCAATGGGTCATAAACTTTGAAACTACTTCACTGAACTGTGCAATGAGACAAAGAAGATGAGTGGCCACAAATAAAATCAGAAAATTGTGCTCATCTTTCAAAATGCTTTTTGGAACTATGCTGCAGAACACAAAACCGATCTAAGCTATCTTCTAAGGCTCTGGCCACATTAGCAATAGAAACATTTACAGGACAACTGCATTAGCTGGCAATTAGTTACAATCAATTTTCAATGGTTAGGAATCCCTCCTGAGGAAAAGCAAACTAAGATAAAAAGGACAGATCCTGCCAATAATATTTTGCTTTTCCATGCTCACGTTTCTGATGTTGCTAGAGATAAAGTTGTGGATGGATAAAGAAATCACTGGGTGTGGCACATGTAATTGCATTCTCCATGGCTTTCAGCAGGATTAAAATAGCAAAAACAAAAGAAAATAAATTCCTATAAAAAATTAGAAATATTACTTTCCCTCTACCCTGCCTACATACAACTTCAAATCAGAAATACTGGACAGTTGATAAATGTAAGAGAAAGTTCTTTTAGCAGTTATAGCCACCTAAAAGAAAATGAGGATTGAAGAATCACTAAGGCAAATTTTATTTATTTATTTATTTATTTAATTGAATTTTTACCCCGCCCTTCTCAATCCCAATCCCGCAAGCTTCATTGGAATAGCAATAACACTGAGACAATATAGTGCTTTACAATCCTCTCTAAGTGGTTTATAGAGTCAGCATATTGCCCGCAACAATTTGGGTCCTCTTTTTACTGACCTTGGAAGGATGAAAGGCTGAGTCAACCTTGAACCAGTCAGGATTGAACTGCTGGCAGATGGCAGAATTAATCTGCAATACTGCATTCTAACCACTGCACCACCACGGCTCTTGATTGAAAAAAACATGATTTGCTCAACTTACCTCCAATGAAGGCTGAATCGCTTCTGACAGCATTGCTGAGTGGTTCTTTATCATCGGCCTTCCCAAATGGATCTGTAATTCATAAGGAAAACCAAGGTAATGCTTATACCACTAAGGTGCTAATCTTTTTTTCTGGCTGAAACTCATACTTGACCTTTGAGAGACATCCCAGAGGCAATCCTCCAAAAAACATGTGGATACAGCCAAGATAATAAAATAAATTTCGTTTTATTTCATTCACTCTGATCTTGACAGAAAATTAATACAACTACTCTTCAGCCATATACGTACTAATTTTGAATTGTACCTGGAATCCAACTGGCAACCAATGCAGCTCACAGAACTGAGGTGTCACATATGCTAAACAACAGGCACCCACAACTGTCTGTACTCCTGCATTTTGCACCAGCTGATGGTTCTGAATACTTTTCAGGGGTAGCTCCATATAGAGTGCATTGAACTATTCCAACTGGGATATGAGGAAGGTATGAATGACTGTGAGTACAGCCTCCAGACATCTATAAACATATCCATATATTAAACAATAAAGAAACATAATGCATGCTTCTCTCTCTCTCTCTCTCTCTCTCTCTCTCTCTCTCTCTCTCTCATTTACCTGTCTTATATACCAAGTTATACTCTGCTATAAGCTGATGATCTCCAGCTGGGCTGATAGATATTGACATTCTCTGCCCATCATGGCTTTGATCAATCAAAGCTTTCATGTTTTTTAGTAAGTTATAGAGGATACTACCCTTAGTTATACCTATTATCCATTTATTATTCCCTGCTGTCAGTAAGGATAATTTGGACACATGTCAGCCAGTATGCCACAAGAACAACCAAAGCTTGTTTTAATTAAATCATGCTCACCTAATTGTATGCAAGTTAGAAACTTTGATCTGAACAAGCCAACATACTGTTACATACTGTTACATCTGGCTTGCATAAATTTAATTGTATTTAAAATTAAATAAAACAACTGAGTTGATATGATTATAGTTAAATGTAAGTAAAATAGAATTTTAGTTGCTTGTTCTCCTTTTATTTTTTCTTTTCCATCACATAGGAAACTACAGCTGATGGCAATTCTTATAAAGTTCCTGGGAGTCACTGAAAAGCCTGAGGCCTCTGATTATATAGTCTTAAATTAATAAAACAATATTAGAATTAAGAAATATTGCCTTCTGGTTATTTTTAATTAATCATTTAGTTTTTTAACGTAGAGGTGAATTTAAATTTTATATTTTATATTAGAAAGTGTTTTTTTTAAGTGAGGAAGTAACATTAAAAATGGAAGGAAAACTATGTATTTGCAATGAGATGTATGCATGAATAGACTGGGTATCTTTTTACCCAGAGGCATAAGCAGTAAACAGAATTCATTTCAGATTGATAGATGAAAATCCATTGGCAGTAAATTCCACTTTGAGTCTCTTCTGCACTCTGCAGAATCAGGAGATGGAGAAATGCTGACCAGTGCATATTTTCCACTGCAGAGATTCCCCGCTCTCAACCCCCCCCCGCCCCCCAAACAATAACAACAACAACAATCTGGTTGTATTTTGCACAGAAATAAAAAAAAACCCTAACTTTTCTATACATGTGTCTTTGGCGCATCACTCTGGAACTTGTCTCCTATTAGTCAAGTGAATTACACAGAAATAATGATGGTAATGCATTTCAAAATATCCCCAAATGTAATCAGAGCATCCAAAGGTGGCTTGGGACCGAAAGAAAGTGCAAGTTGAAGCACCCAATTTTTGCTGATTCTCCACAATCTTTGGCATTTTTCCACACAGTACCTCTATTGATCTGGAAAGCTTCTCAACCAATAACTATAACTTTTTGTGAATTAGCAACTGCCTCAGACTTTTTTTGGAAGAGTCTATTAGTTTCATTGCAACTTACCCAGAATGAAAACTAAGATTCTGAGCCACAGGAGAAAACGATGCCTTTCAAATCCAGTGACCACAGAAAAATAAGCCAGACTTTTAATAAAGTTCATTCAGAAGAAACACGTCAGTTAAATAAACATTTGGCAACAAATAGTATTTGCCCAATTAATACAAATTAATGTTATCTAAGAATGTTATCTAAGAAATCAACACAAAATGTTAAGAATTAATTGCTTTCAAATAGCATATTTGTATAATTATCTCTCTTTCTCTCCTATACACATACATACAGAAAGAAAGAGAGCAAAGAGACAGAGAGAGAGAAAAAGGCAGAGAAAAAACAAAATAAAGTCAAGATAGCCTATTTTTAGGCTTGTTTATTTATTTGTTTGTTTATACATCTTATATCCTGGCAGGTCGTTAAAAATTTCATGGGCCCTTGATTGACAATAGTTGTTCACATTTACTCTAGAGCACTAGCAAATAAGAATAGATTTGCATGGAGAAAAAGCTCACCCACATCTTTTAACACATTCCTGGAAAAACCACTTAAGGTGCTGCCAATCTGTATTAGTCAGAATTGCTTTTTAACAGCTATGACAAGACAATCTAGTGACTACAAAAGAGGGAGAAAGCACATGGAACTCATTCAACACAAGGAGCTTATAATAATTTGTTACTATTTCTTGTTAACAGATTCTAGTGTTTTCTTCATAATATCTCAGATACAATGAATGAAATGAAATGGTGATTTGGAAGGAATCCAAACAGTTTTAGAACAAAAGAAACAAGGCAATAATGCTGAATTTGTAATTAAATAGGAAAGAAAAACAAAATCATTTCAGGACATATCCTTCCAGTTTACTGGAAGCAACAAGAGTTTGTTGGATTATATAATTCACTCTTCTTTAGGCTGAAATAGGTTTTATAATATAGAATGCATTTTTGGGGTGAGAGATGAGCAAATTGTTCTTTTATACTGAAATGAATTTTAGTATAATTTATACTAAATTATATTTCATTTTAATGTATTATGGCCACTCACTTTCACTCCAGAAGACTCAGGACAGCTTAGAATAAAAATAAAATAATAAATAAAATAATAAAATAAAATAAAATAAAATAAAACCTGTTCAAAACATAAAACAAAGTGAGGCAGTGTGGACAAAAAACAGCCAAACCAATAAAAACATAAAAATATGATAGACGTCCATAGCGACACTAGTACCAAGCCTGGGAAATCAATATCCTTTGGTGAAAATGATCTGAAAGCCACGTGGGTATGTGCATGTGTATGTATGCGCACTTCCAACTTATAGTAATACTAACCCTAGCTTTACAATGTCCTCTCCTTTCCAAAATAAACACTTAAGATGCCCAAGGGAGTATTTAATTATTACAAGCGGGAAATGAACTGCTTGGATCATCATCAGGGTATAATGTGTCTCTCCTTAAAACCAGAGAGGATAAGAGACAAGCATAACACAACAGCTTCTGCTAGCCTATGCATTTCCTGATTATCTGAGGTGATAAAGTTCAAGCAACTAATTCATTATACCGAGTGATTATTTTTTTAAAAAAATGTTAAAAATCTCTCTTTCTAGATAACTACTCGGAATCTATCAGATGATGATATACAGACCAGAAACAGGCTTGTATGGATCAGTTTCTTGTAGGCCAGGGGGCCCCAACCCCTGGGCCACAGCTTAATAATGGAACATGGCCTGTTCAGAACAGGGCCTGGAAGCGGCAGGCACGCACACATGTGTGAAGGTCCAATTGCGCAAGCTTGTGCAAGTGGAGCTCCGCATGTGCGCACTTGTCCACCGGAACCATCCCCTCCTCCCCGCCACCGGCCTGCAAAGCCGGAAAGGTTGGGGACTACTGTTGTAGGCAAACCACACCCTTACTTATTAACTCCCCATTTTTCTACACTTCCATGGAACATCATTCATTCTCTGTACTGGCAAGCTGATTTTTGAAAAAACAAAACAAAACCCAGATTTTAAATAGTCTGGGAATTCAATTAAATGTGTTTAATAATTCTTCCACTTGCCTATCATATCTTTTTTTTGTTTTCCACAACTAAACCCCGATGAAAGTACGATGTTACTAAACAAATATCTTTTGTGCAATGTCAACCTCCAGTGTTTAAATTCTATTCATTTAGCTTTATTGAGTCAAAAGTAAAGATTTCATGGCCTGCTTATTTTAGCAAAGAAAGAACTACAAATAAGATCAAAGAACTACAAATAAGATCAAAGCCGATAGTAATATTATTATAGGCAATAATTTGTTACAGCATATTATTAATGTTGTTATTTTATGTAGTTATTGTATTGTATACATTGTAAAAAAATTACTATGAGTAATATCCAGTTTATTTTGCATGCAGCTCACTCCCACTCAATCCCTCTATCCAGATCACAGCAATTGTGGCTACTACTCAACTCAGCTAGCAAAAATATGGATTGATATCATTTAGTTAAATATCAACAGAGATCGAAAGGATTAATTGGCAAGAATAGGGCAAAGGCAGAGAAAAAAGAGGCATAGAGATGAACAACAGACAAGAACTAAAAAGACTGTTCACTTAATAATAAACAATATACATTTCCAATATTTATATATCAAGAGGCACAGAACTTTCCAGACACATTAAAAACAATGCTGTGGGTAATTACATGGCTGGTTGCTTATCCCATCTTTAATTTTTTTTTAATGTACATCACATCACAAATATAGAAAATAGGATACCAGGGGGACATGATAGCAATATTCCAGTATTTGAGACACTGCCACAAAGAGAAGGAGGTCTATTTACAATGGATAGAAACTGACCAAGGAGAAGCAACCTGGAATTAAGGAAAAACCTCCTAACAGTGAGGATAATTAACCAGTGGAACAGCTTGCCTTCAGACATTGTGGGTGTTTCATCATTTGAGGTTTTTAAGAATAGACTGGACAGCTACTTGTCTGAAATGATATAGGGACTCCTGCTTGAGCAGAGTGTTGGACTAGAAGACCTCCAAGGTCCCTTCCAGCTCTATTCTGATTATTATTATTATTTGTAGAAACAGGGAGGTGAATGGGGATAATGTAGTCAGCATAATTAAGATACCATATTGCATCTTATTTGCATATTGCCTAGAATCTCTTGAATAAAACAACTTATTAATCTATAAAAGTAAAAGCATGTTCCATTTTATATATACCATATTTCCATCATCTACTATTAAACTAAGCATCGAATAAGAAATATTACTAAACAAGTTACCTGTACAATGTGCTCAACATACCTGAGGAAGAGTAAATTGAAGTTGCTGTATTTGCATCTACTTCAACCAATGACCTGCAGTTTGATTCAGACAATGAACCCAGGACTGTCACTGGTGCTAGGTTGGGATGTCTTAAGGCAGCTTTCAGTGGAGCAATATGGTTATACTGCACAGAAGACATGCATCCAATGAATCCAAAGGCGTTTGCCTTGGAGATTTCCACATCCAGACCCTGACTATCTGTAAAATACAAAGCAAATAGGAGCTCTTTCATTTATATTGTAATTCCATAAGAACATTAAAGGACAGCCGGCATTAATTTCCACCTATTTAACCATTCATTTAATTATTTTTTTATCAATTCATGTAATGCAATCTTCAATCCATGGCTGGAAACTTGCTCTATTGTTATTTGCCTATTTTTCTCCACCTAGCTGAATGATCCAAGAATAATTTTAATGAATTCCAACAGAAAGAAAGCTGGAATTACAGTAGGTCTTAAGATTTAGGGAACATGCTTACTCCAAGTCTGTGAAATGACTTGCTTAGTAGGTTTGAGATGCTGCAAACATAACAGAGATAATCTGCATATAATACAAATAATATATTCAGAAACATTGATATTGAGACATACGTAATATGATATGTTGAGGGGGGAACACTTTGAAGAGAAGCCCCCAAAACACATGATTAAGTAGTGAATTCTAAATATTATGTTTTCCTTGGTGTTTCTTAACTTTGAACTAAAGATATTATGGTTATGATAATTTTGGTTTTTGAACAATTTATGTATGACTTCAACATCACGTGGTGGTGGTGCAGTGGTTAGAATGTAGTATTGCCGGCTAATTTTGATAACTGCCAGCAGTTTGATTCTGTCCGGCTCGAGGTTGACTCAGCCTTCCTTCCTTCCGAGGTCGGTAAAGTGAGGACCCAGATTGTTGGGGGGAGGGGACAATATGCTGACTGTGTAAACCGCCAAGAGAGAGCTGTAAAGCACTATGAAGTGGTATATAAGTCTAAGTGCTATTGCTATTTGGGTCATTCATGGCTATGTTCCTGGTTCACAATTATGCTTGTCTGAGCAGTTTGAGATATAAAGAAAAGGGGAGGGAGAAATAGAAAACCCACATTTCTATGAAAATCATTGGAAAAGGCAATATGATTTATAAATCATGCAGCAAAATTCAAAACACACTGCACAATTTATAAATCTTTGACAAGACAATTATCACTCTGATCATTTCTTTCACAATTTGGGTTTTTAATAATAAGTTTCCTGTGGGTTATATCCTGTGGTTTCTGTGGTTTTATATAATTCAGGAGCTCTAGAATCATGGCGCTACAAAATAATACCACTAATAAAGTGGGAAAGGTCTCACCTCCTAGATGTCAAGTTTATTTTTTTATTATACCTAGATGCAGGTATAATAAAGTAGGTTTTTTTTAAAAAAATATACTAGTTGTAGGACATAAAGATCAGGATTTAAAGAAGCATTCAATACTTGCATCCAGTTCTTATTATAAATAGATAAACTTGCTGACTTTGTTGTGCTTTGGAAATCAAGCTACATCATTGATGGGGACTAAAGTGCTGGAAGTCTACACCGACTACACTGTCTGAGATACAGATAAAAAGTACATGGCGCTTTCATGTGCCTAAGTATCAACTTTATGTTGTGCTAATATGTCATAATATGTAATTCTCTCTCCTTTTCTCTCTCTCTCTCCCTCCCTCTCCGCCCCCTCTGTATTATAGTGCAGGATTTCTTTGAAATGTTGTAAAAACATCTAGGGAGAACTGTCCTATGGTCATGCATTTCCTTGGCCCAAAGGTCAAAACTACTTCCTACATCAGATGGAGAGTTAAGAACATGGAAAATGACTTCTCCATTTATAACCTATGGACTCTCTTTCCTTCTTGCTTGATAACATTAGTCACGACCAGGGTTATGGTACAATGCAGAAAATTAATCATATGTTCAGATTGCCAGTGTGCTCAGTGGTGTTTCGAAGTCAACATTATCACATATGTGGTTCACTCAAGGACAATTTTATCAGATACCCTTTTATACGTTGCTAGTGAGCGGACAAGATTTATGTAACTTTACCTGAAACAAACATCATATCTACCATAGTCTTTATATTCCTCTCTAGAAATGAACAATAAAGCTAGTTTGCTTATTTTTCAGGCCATCTGTGTGTTTTACAGAAAAAGAGTTGCCCCTCCCACTCTATGAGCACAGAAGATTTTGCATAATAAAGGCAGCTGATGACTCTTATACAGAAATAATATTATAAAGGTTATATACAAGAATTTATGAGAAAAAAAATTCCTCAACAATCAGATTAACATGGCTGAAGTTTCTCATATATTTTGATGGAAACGCCTTGTCAGCTCAGCAATATTGGCTGCTATGTATGCTTACAGATGGAACTAAAAGCTTGATTGCATTTGATATACACACTTTAAAATAAATTTTGATTGTGGTGTCTGCCTTGCCAGCAGAGAAGTCTTTTCATTCTTCAACAGCAGACAGGAGAGCTCTGCCCCTAACTTTAACCTAGCTATCCAGTTGACCCTGAAGCTAGAAAGAAAAGAAACTTTTCTTTGTGCAAGTCTTTATTTCTCTGCTGGAAAAAAAAAACAGGGGGAGGGAAAGGTCTAAAAAAATAATTGCCTGTCTACCTACCCAAGTTATGTATCTCTGCCTGTGCACCATGCAAAAAACATAAAAACATTGGAGTTTAGAAACTTATAAATTTAAATAAATGAATTAATTAAAAAAGAAACTTTAAATAAATGTATTGATTTCAAGCTGCCATTTTATGTCCATTTATCCCACCACTTGCTGAGGCATTCAAGGTGGAAGCCTGGAGGTGGAGGCGTAGAACAAGGTGGAGAAGCTGTTTGGGTTTTCATATGGCAGAGGGCCAGGTTGTTTGTGGGACCACCTTTATCCCACTGTTTCTGCCTGACATACAAGGCTTAGCATGTTCCAAGGGCAAGTTTCCTCTATTAAACAATGTTATCAGGTTGGACTCAGAAGTTGTGTTTTCTCTATGACAGCCTTGTGGAACTGTATTCCTCCAGAGAACCCTATGGACCTTTGGACTAGGAGCGTAGTACTGTCCTATTATTGATGTGAATTTTATGATGGGCAGATGTCATTTACCGGGGCCCCATTGGTTGTTTTTAATTATTGAGTATCCTACCCAGAGTCACTGTTGTGAGAGGGGAAGCCATACTTATTATTCAAATAAATAAATATTATTATTTTTTTAAAAAAATCCTAATTCCATCAAAAGGTGACCTCACTTAACTCTAGCATGTATGCAAGATAGGATTCTCATGTCCAATTTGCCTTTCTGTTGATTAAAAGATAATAATAATAATAATAATAACTGTGCTGTCTCTGGGCTCTATGGTATAGAAGCATAATAGCTAGGAGATGCAGACCTTCTTTTCCCTTTGGGAAAATTTATTAAGAGGGAAAAAAACTTTATTAAAGGAACAGCCAATAACAGAGTCTCTCTCTCTCTCTCTCTCTCTCTCTCTCTCTCTCTCTCTCTCTCTCTCTCTCTCTCTCTCTCTCTCTCTCTCTCTCTCTCTCTCTCTCTCTCTCTCTCATGAAAATGCAGGGAGGGCAGGCAGACTGTACTGATCACAAGCACAATAATATTTTCCTTTACAACCCAGCTTTTCAAAAACAGAGGGTTTAGCCCTCACCCCAATGGAACCCTCAAAAGGAAAAAAAAATATTAGCACAGTCTGAAGTAGTATAATTCAGGAAAGATTTGTAGCATTTGTCATTTGTTCACATTCAGATTAACTCTAAATATTTTTAAACTGAAGATTAAATCTGATTTGGTGTTACGTTGCAATATTAAAACCTCCAAGAATTCTAATCCTATTTAGGTGCTATATGATTTTGAGCCCTTAAACATGTGAATCAGAAAAGCAGCATCTCCAATGATGCGACTCACATAAGGTCAAACTAATGGAGACATCAATGCATTAGTGCAGATGTCTTTAACCAGAAAAATCTCTGTCCATATAATTGTTAGTTCCTAAATGAGTCATATTCTTAAAAATGAAATCTCCTGGCTTGTAAGGAAGCCATTGTATGTACAACTATATAGAAGAAGGCTTCCTTTCTGCAGATACATATAGTGAATATATTGAGGAGTATTTGAGTAAGATCAACATCCTAAATTACACTCAGAAGTGAACTGATAAGCTGAAATTCTTTCAGAACTGATGGAATACACTCTCACTATGAAAAAAACAACCAACCACAGAGCTGAAGCTTTGAAAGAACTTCTACAAAAGCCAGATGTATAATACAATTTTAAGGCAATCAGGGCATGGATAACCAGGCTTTCCTATCCAGAGCTAATCAAATGAATTACAATTTATCAATTTTTTTAAAGCCATTCAGACCACTTTTGGAGTACGGTATGTCGATTCAAAAATGAGATATACACAATTTTCTTGGATGAGAAAAGTGCCTTCATTTTGTTATGATTCAACTTCAGGTTACTGGCATATATACAACCCATTTTTTGATGCAGGAGAAGTTTTAACACCTCCACTGCTTTACCTGATAAATAAGACACCAATACTAATATTTCACTCCAAAATCTTTGCTCCTAGGAACCAGCAGTTTCATATAGATGTTAAACAACAGAAGAAATAATAGGGGAATTTGTAGGATTCCATTTCATTAAAATGAAATCTTGTAAAATCCTTTGATACAACTTTCTGAATCTGAACCTATGGATAAAGAGTTAAATATAACCATGTTCTCCAATGCTCCAAGCCAGCTTAATAGGTTTACTTGGATGAAAACTCCATGGTCACTTTTGGATGTGACAGCACAGGCGCTTGAGGATCAGGATGAACCCCCTGACAATCATATGATGTTCTCATCAGGCACTTTACTGTATTCTGGTAAGACCTGAATACTGTCTGTTTTCAAAGCAGCTATATTACTGCAGATATACTATCATTTTGAAGATCAATCGGTGTACTCATTGGAGGGGATGTCTAGTGGCCCTGGCCCAAATTTCCTACATCTTGGCTGAAGTAAGGGTTAAATGCCTATTATTGGAAAGTATTCAGTAGCTAGCTGCAGGGATTTTATTCTTTTTAATGTAAAACCATGGGAGTATGTTCTGGATGTACTCATCTGGTCAACATCTGAGCATGGGGTGGCTATGAGGTCTTCATGTATTCA